AAAAAAAAAATTTTTAAAAAAATTTTTGAATTTTTTTTTTTTTTTTTTTTTTTTTTTTTTTGGAGGCCAGACTTAATGTTCTATAAATTAGGAATTTTGTTAATGTTTGCATTATGCTGCAGTTTCTGTCAGGAGAAACTACAGCACGATGTATTTGCTGCAGAAAAAAATGTAATAAAAACCAGTGTTTGTTTTTTTTATTAAATTCTCATGGTGTTGAAGTTAAAAATACAAACTCCATAAACTTGTCCAATTCTGAGAAGCATAATCTGGTAAAATTCTGACTGCTTATTTTGGAGTAAATCTGCAACAGTTTAAGTTCAAAGTCGTGGAAGCAGTTTTTGCTTCTAAAAGCCACTGAAGTTGTTTTTTGTAGATCAGTCCACAGGAAGGGTCAAATGCATCCTAAAGTAACATGATCTGCAAGATCATGATGTAAACTTTTAAGCTGTTCTGGGGTTTGATCTGCTTTCAGCCTCTGGAAATCGATAACTTCGTCCTCTTCAGAGATGTTATGCGGTTCATCGTTGCCTCTGCGAGACAGAACAGTTTTCAGCCACTTGTCACATGGATTCTCAATTAAAGCAAAACATATGTATGTAAATTTACCTTAAAAATGTGAGCTCTGTTTTCAGGCCCTCTGTGAGCTGCTCCAAATCAGTCCTGAAGGTTTTCTGAATCTCAAACTCCAATTTTAATTCTCTCAGTGTCTCTTGTAGTCCTTCCACTGTTTCCTGTATGAACAATACAATTTCCTTGAGGTTTACTCCATTCTAAACATCAATGTTTCTCTAGAGACAAGTCCTACCTTGTGATGTGCTGTCCTCTCCTCCCTCTCTATCTCCATAAGATTGATCCGTTTCAGCAGACAGGATCTCTGCACCTCCAGCCTCCGTATGTCTTCTCTCAGAGGACCCAGGCTGGCTCTCAGGTCCATCGCCTGCTCCTTGCAGTTTCTCAGTGCTTCCTCCCCGGCCTGCCTTCTCCTCAGCAGGGCTACCATGCGTGGCTCGTACCAGCCCTCCAGTGCCGTTACGCTGCCGCTGAGCCTCCGCTGCAGCCTGATGGAAGCCTGCCGACACTGGCTGACGTCACTCATGGTCCTCGACCGGCGCGGTCTAGAGACCTGATCTCTGAGGGAGTTGAGCTGGTTCTGGTGGTCAGTCTGCAGCTGGTGCAACTCATGGGACAGATCATGGAGACTGGCCTTGAGTTCCTCCTATCAATAAAGAGAGCATGAGGAGCAGATACACGGTAAGTTTTTGCACACATAGTGCCTTGTTTCACACTTGACTACATAAAGACCACAAATTTATATGTGGCATTTAAAGGCACTGAAACATGTTTTAAAATGTTTTTTTTTTTGGGAAATAAAATATCCATGTTATGCCTTTTAAGGCTACAAGTCTTCTGGAGAACGTCTCTGCCAGCTTTGCACATCTAGAGACTTAAATTTGTTAATATTCTTTGCAAAATAGCTTAAGCTCTGTCAGATGAATTCTTAATGCAGTTACTTGCCCTATATATTTTTTAGGTGTACCAGAGTAAAGTGCTTAGAATACACATGTACGCCACACTTTTCAGATTTTCATTCTTATCCTTTCCTTCCACTTCATACTTACTACTTTCTGTTTGTCTGTCGGATAGAATCTCAATAGAATACAGTAAAACTTGTTCTTGTAATGTGACTGGATACTTTTGCAAGGCGCTGAATGTAAACCGGTGAGCACAAATTTGTTACGGCAAAAACGGGATGTATGATATAATAAAATAAAATGGCTAATTCCAGCAACATCTTTCCTGTGAGAATAAGGAGTTTACTTTGCTAAACATTTAACAAAATGACAGAAATGTTCATTTATTTATTGCTTTTAGTTGAAGATTTTACAAAATGTAATGAAGATTATATGTAATCACATTGTTTTATCTCCCAAATGATAGACATGACACTGCACAGAACAAGTGTTGTGGCAATTGTTTGTCAAATCAAACATCCCATAAAAGTTCGATCCATAAGCCAATGTCCAAAATTTTACGCTTGCTTTTTATACAATTTATTTTTTTCTCTCAGTTGGCAAGCAAATAATAAAGATAAAACTTTTTCCTGCTGCTTCTTCTGCTCTGGTAAAAAAAAAAAATCATATATAAAATGGACTTACTGTCCTCCCTATCTAACTTAGGAAATAATGAAATCAAAAAAACAACAAAAAATAATAATAATAAAAAATAAACAATTACTAACCTGCAATTAAATTCTACAAATAATCAAAAATTATATAAAAAAAAGTAAACTGAGAATAAACGTGAACAAATTCAAAGTAATAAAAATAACGAATAAATAGTTCCAACAACAAGAATGATTAAAAGTTGCAACTCAGAGAAACATTTCAGGGAGCGTGAACAGGATGTGCACAGACCTGCGTCAGACCAGACTGAGCCACTTCGTACTCCTGTCCAGCCAGCGTCACCTGACTCTGGATGCAGTCTCTGGCTGCGGTGAACAGTTTCCTCTTCACCTGGTCCACTTCCTCGTGCGTGGCGACATAATCCAGCTGAGCCAGAGTGAGGAGCCTCCTCGCCGCCATCAGCTTTTCTCTGAGGTGTTCCACAACCTGCAGCATAGGTTTGTTCAGAGCGAGAAGCTCCTGGATCAGCTCGTCCCTCTGCCTCTCCAGACCCGACACTTGCTGAATCCAGTACTCAAAAAGTTCCCCCAGAGCTTTCATGCCCATCTGGTCCATCTTTAGTGCGTTGAGCAGTGCAGTTTCACACAGGGCTGCTTCAGAGTCAGTGTGTACATCATGTTTTGAAATATCCTCACTGTGTAATTCCTCAGCGGATGTCGTGTTGCTGTCGTCCTCCACTTGCTGTTTTCTGCTCATGACAAACTAAAGCAGAAAACAACTTTACAGTCATTGACCGAGAAATAATCTACATTAAATCACATCAGTGGTTTTAATAATCTAATTCCTTCTTTAATAGGCAGTTTAACATAATTAAGTATGCTAACTCTAACCGCTCTTATCCCAGCAATGACTCTCTACTCACGATCGAATCGTGGAGATGATTAACAACTCAAATTAAGTATACTTTACTCACTGTTTTGGAAATGCCAGCCCCAGTGTTTCAAAACTTTTGAGTGGAGTTTGTTCTTTAGTGCTAAGTAGTTCTTTGCTCTCCGTATGTCTCCAGGAAAACACAGGATCACTTTGTATTTATTAATAACACAGGAGGCATGGAGGGGAAACTCTATCTAGGACTCTCATGGAATCACAAACTGTGTCAGTGCTGGGAGCAGACTGTGTCTTGACCAGCTTATGTGGCATCAAAGTCTATATTTATACACATCAGCAGCTTGTTTTTTTTTATGTGTGCACTTAGTTTGCCAGTAATATTGTGGTGGAAAGCAACTGTTTTCATGAACTTTTAACCATAAATCGTCCAGGAAAGCGTTGCAATATTAGGAGAGCAGTGCAACCAGTTGCTCTGGATGTAATATTTGCATGATTAATGAACATATTTGTTTCAGCAGTTTTGCATACTGTCTATCAAGCCTCCCTCAGAAAAATGGAAATAAGCAACAACCTGGGACACATAAAAGAATTTCATCAAGATATGAGCAGAATAAAAGGAATATTGTAGTCTTAAAAACCCCAATGTCATGGTGCCTTGCAAAACTATTCACACTTATACTTTTACACCATTTTTCATATTTCATATTTCATATTTCTCAATTTACCTCAAACCAGAAGAGGACTCAGGAAACATTGAAGATGGTGATCTGATCAGACGAGATCAAAACTGATGTTTTTGGTCAAGATGCAAAACTCTGTGTGACAGAAAACTAATAATTCACCCTGAACACACAATGAAACATGTTAGCAGAAGTATCATGGTGTGAGGATTTTTTGTTTGTTTGTTTTTGTTGTTTGTTTTTTTTAAGTTAAAAAGCAACTATCCTTTTCTCTCCATGTTACAGTTACTACATACATTGTGTTAAGCTGTCAAATAAAAAAAACAAACATTGAAGTTTCAGGTTGCAGCATGACCAAATGTGGGAAATGTTAATTTCCAAGGTGATGCGTTAGGAAATTGTAAACCAATTTGAAATATTTTCTGAATAAATAAGTAAAAATTGGACCCATTTGTTAAATGGAACTAGCTTTAATTCCAGATATATTTAAATTTTAATTTAATTTATTTTAATTTTCAATGAATTTTACAAATCTGAGCCACATTACAGATGAATTAAAAATATTTAAAAGTTTAATTTAAAAAAAAAAAAGAAGTTTTGTCGTATGGACATGTGAGAAAAAAAATAGTGAAACATAAATATTTTTTTAATTTTCAAATTAATTATTTTTCTTTAAAATAACATTTTAGCAGTAAAATATGAGGACCTGTTTCGTGTTTTTGGGGGTTAGAGCTGTCGCAGTTTTGTACGTTCGCCACCAGATGTCCTCAGTTCGCCGACCACTGCCGCTCTCCTACCTGAGCCCTGCCTCCTACAGGTGGGATTTCCAACTCGGTGGTATTTTCTTTACTCCCTTCCTATCTGCCTTGGTTCATTGGAGCGTCCGCACACAGACAGACAGACAGACAAACAGCTCATGACAGCAGGGCAAACTCTTCTGTTTTCCTTCGACACAGTGGAGCCGAGTAAATGCTACAGTTTCGTGAAGCGCGCTGAAGTTTTCACGGAAATGGTTCACCTGAAGTTTTCTGTCGGACAGTAAGAATAAAAAAAGTTTGGAGCTGGAGAGAAATGAAGCCCCTGAGAGACGCTTCATATGGAGAGTGAGTGAATAAACCCTAACCGGATCTTTAAAAGTTTTAAAAAGGTAAGATTCTCTTTTCTTTTCACGTTTAGACGCAAAACTCCCTAATATGCTTTTTATTTTTTAGTTATTTGAAAACATTTGCGCTATAAACTTTACTTTAAAAATTAAATATACAATCTATATTTTCTTTTATCCAGTTTTTAACGTTTCTGCTCTAAGATTTATTTTTAAATTAAAGAGAAACCTTCTTGTTGAGGCCAATGTTCTACTTTGTAATCAAATAAAGTGGAGCGCTTTGAAGAATCCAACAGAGGTAATTTAAGACCTCTGACAATAAACCCTATTGTCTCCTTCCTCTCACCCAGCTGGAAATGCTTCCTTACCACATGATTTTCTCGCACTTGGTTTTGATTGTTGCCCATGCATTTTACACTGCTTGTTTGTGGACCTCTTTGGGCAAGGACTTTCATCCTTTTCTGTCTGTTCTGCTGCATCTGTGGAACTTTGGACAAATTTAAGATTTGGACTTGAACTTTTCTTTTGCAGATCAGTGAGGGCTGGGGTTCTGTTTCTTTTTTAGTTGCAATTTCACGCTTTCATACTGAAAAGTAGAGGCCAAGATGAAGCCATTTTTGTTTAGAAAGGGTGTGTCACCTACTGGTGTTCCTTCTTCACCATGTCTGCCATGCCAAGGCTTGCACCCAAGGAAATTACAGTTGTGGTATGTGAGCAGTAGCAAAGAGCAAAGATTCAGCTGTAGATCCAGACAGACATGAAAATCTAGATGATATAACAGGAGAAAACAGAGACGCACACATTTTCCTGATACAAATGTTCTCCAATTCCTGACCTGCTCATTTTTGCGTTTGAAGGACAATAACTTGAGTCAAGATGTGCTAATGCTAGAATGCTAATGGACAGTAACTTGAGTCAAAATGTGCTAATGCTAGAATGCTAATGGACAGTAACTTGAGTCAAAATGTGCTAATGCTAGAATGCTAATGGACAATAACTTGAGTCAAAGTGTGCTAATGCTAGAATGCTAATGGACAATAACTTGAGTCAAAGTGTGCTAATGCTAGAATGCTAATCCATTAACATTCTAACACTTTACTTTGCTATGAATGCTTTGCAATGTGCTAACTGGACACTTTGCTGTGTGTTCATAGCAAAGTAATGAACAGATGATGAAAAGAAACTGCAAAAATCACATGCAAGAAATCTGCTGAAATCTCTCTTTTAAAATGACCAGGTACAGTAGTTAAAAAAAAAAAACAATAAGGAATGCACTCAACCACACAATTTCTATGCCCATTTACTGCACAAGACTCCACTGTTGAAAAAAGAAAAAACATGGGTAAATCAGTAGATTTTGAGAAGCCTGTGAAATGCCGGTTAAATATCCTCTGGTCTGATTTGGCCAAAGCAATTGGTGAAAAAAAAAAAAAAAAAAGTCAACGGAAAGACTCTGAATTCGATCCCTGCCTTGGCTGGTGTGTTTCTTTCAGAAAGCCTGAAAGATGCATCATTTTGTTGTGAAACTGCTGTCAGGCTTAGGCTGAGTTGCTCAATGGAGGAAAGGTCATAGCCTCTTGTCCAGACAAGGCAACAGGAAGAACAATCAGTTCTGTAACAGCCACATGACTGAGTGATCTGTGTGTGTCAGTGTGGAAACGTCTGGCTCATGAGTGTGGAACGGGGTGCTGTTAATCAAAGGGATGAGTAAATGATCAGTAAGCCTTCATCAGCATTTTCAAGTGAGTTCATATTGTAAGGAGGCTAGCACCAGGCGGTCTGCAAATGCAAACAAGCTTGTTCCCACACTTGCCAAAATGCTTTATTTTCTATACTATAATCATTTTTCTTTGACTTCTGGCCATTTTTCTGCCTCTTCGGCTGAGAAAGCTTCAATTTAACCCCGAGTCCCAGCAGACACTCAGCAATGCCAGGTTGTATTTTTAAACCCCTTTGCTGTCCAGCTGTGTTTGCCCTCTTAGTGACTTGGTCAGTACTGCTCCATGACAGTTTCTTTTCTTTTTTTAAATTTTTATTTTCAAGAGTGACCAGGCAGTGCAGGGGGCTGTAAGACCTGCAGTCCTAACTTGGGATTCCTGGCAACCCTTGGAAGCGAAGCTAATGAGACCCAATACGTCCATTGTTTGTGTGGTCCTGTCCCGCAGTCTTTGTGTTTCCCTTCTGCCACACATCTATCTTACACAAATGGGTGATTTAAAGGCTTCTGTAGAACTAGATGGCATACTGAGTAGGTAATGCAGTCACTGGATTGGAGAAGAGATGCATCTAAAACATGAAGGACTGTGAGCCCTGAGGATCAGGATTGAGAATCGCTGTGCGATGGAGGAATTCTGAGAGTCTAAAAACCTGATAACATGTTAATTAGTCTGGGTTTCTGCTTGCATGCAGCCTAAAGTCACTGCTCAACAGATATCCTTTCCAACTTTACCTTACCACGAATCCTGTTTGTAAAGGATACCCCCTATCCCTCTGAGCACTGGGGCACACCTTTAGGAAGCCTGCATAATGAGTTGCCAGCATTTCCTAATAGTTAGTCACGCATGACTCAATATGCCTACATTTGTTGAGTAAACAGTTAATAGCCCTGCAATATTTTTTTTTATCACATATTGCATATTGGTAGCAGAAAAAAACCCCAGAATATAGTTGTTTAAAAATGTTGCAATTTATTAACTGTGCAACTTATATTTATTCTTGTTTGGGCAGAGCAAAAACTTAACAGAAGTAATGACATATAAGCATTAGGGCTAGGAACAAGCTTTGAGGAGGGTTCCTTTAACTTGTCTGTCTTCTGAGGAAAAGTGTAAAAGCCTGATTTCAGCCACCAGTGAATTGACTGGCGGTGATGGGCTATGCTCCCACCTCTGGCGCTTCCTCTAATCGAGGACTTTTAAACCCTATAAAGAGTTAGACTAGAAATATGAGCTGTTTTTTTTAAAACCCTGCCACACTTTAATACCAGTAACACAATTACCAGATTAGATGATAAACAGTTAGTCCAATGTATAAATCATTAGAAAAAGTTGCGGAACATTGTCCTCTTTGAATGCCGAGTTTCTCTCAGTGGAAACGCACAACTGCATATTATATTATCTCTAAATGACTTCCATGTGCCAGCTATTATCTGTTTTCTTCCATGTGGCCAATTGTGGCAGGGGGGCTGTAGGAGGGACGTGTGACAGGGAGAGGTTGAAGACTCGTACATCTGTGTGTGTGTGTGTGTGTGGTGGAGAGGGAGAAAGCAGATTTGGAGAGAAGAGTTCTTCAGTCGGTAATTATCAATCTCTCAGGAATGCTGCTGCCGCTCTTACCAGACAAGCCGCTGCATGGCTGCGACAGCTTCACAAGCTTCACCAGCTCGCGTTACCCCTCCATCACAGGTTCTCCTCCTCCGACATGCACACACAGAAGGGCGTACAATCTGAGAAAACCCTCCAGACTGTTTCTGAGGCTTCTTGTTGTTGTTTGCTTTTTGTTGTTCTTGTTACCGACATAGCTGTTTTCTGTAATCTTATCTTCTCTTCAGCAAACAAAGAGACCGCAATATGTCAGAATGAGATTATCTTTCAGCTCTTTTGCGAAAGCATGTCATGGAAGAAAAGCAAATGACTGGAAACTTTTGACCCAAAGTTTGGCTCTTTTTCTTTCTTTTGAGCATTTCCAGTTTCTTTCCTCTTGCAGCAACAATCACTGTGCCGGTCCTGTATGTCAAGCTCTCACAGTTCAGACTTAAGTTTGTTCTTGAGCACCAATGCTCGTCTTTGTTTGATAAAGCCCAGAGAAGACGGCCAACGCCCTGACTGATGCCTGCAGGTGCTTCACTGTAACACCAGTTTTGCTCAACACTTGCTATTTAGCAACAGTCGTAAAAGCTGAAAACTGTTATTTTCCACTCCGGGTGTTGATTTAATAAAAAAATAAAAACAACAACTGGAGTTTATCCAGACCATCCTATCGACTTCCTATAAGAAGAAATATTAATCTTCTGATCTGTCATTCTGGAAGCCGTGCCATGTGAAACCAGCAGCTGAGGTGTAGATGTGAATGGCTCCATGTATAAACTGAGCCAGTCCTAATCCAAACAAAGGTGGCCATCTGTATCACCGCCACGCCCTCTTGCCTTATCCCCATGAGGTAGCACAGTCTGCTAGTCAGGCGGCTTCCCTGTGTGACTCACTGCGATTGCGTTTACATTTCCTGGAGCCCCCTCTTTTGTCCCCCAGGCCACTCACTACCTGTGAGATTCTTATTTCTCTTGTTTGGCTCCAGAGCCAAAGAGATTACTGAGCAGTGAGTGAGCTAACCTGAACTTTTGAGGGGCCCCAACAGGATCAATACATGCTGAGTGGAGTGTAGCGTTGGCTTTTTGAAGTTCAGTAAATATGGGGAAATATCACAGGTTATACAAATTTAAACATCAGACAAAGATGAGGTGGGCAAATCCAGAATGCAGTTTTTATATTTTACTTATTGAGAGGAAATCTTTCCAAATCAAAGTGGCTCTACCTGTTGGGTATTTGTCAACTTGTCAGCCTGGGGAAGGAAATCGTTTCATCACTGGCCATGTAAATATCACTCTGTAGTGCCAACCTGATAGGTAAAAGTCTTTAAATGCTTTGTGTCCAGGATGTGAGGGGTCTGCAGAAATTTTAACCGTCCTTCTCCTGATCCTAGACCTGTGCAAGTGCTGGATTGAGGAAGATCCATTCTGGTGATCCTCTCTGCAGGCCTGATTATTCTTTGCAGTGTTGACCAGTTATCATGAAAAAAACATCATTAACAAAATTAGTTAGCTGAAGTTTAGTTATTGGCTAAAGTTTACTTTTTTTGTCCCCTAAAAGATCTCAAAATGCAACACATCATAGTCGATTTTAAGATATTCAATAACGGATGAGAAACTCTGAGTACATTTCGTAAAGTAAACATTGTATTCATGGTCAAACATGATGGTCTGGAAATGATTTAATGCTATGGAATGAACTGTCATCGTAGACGGAACCATGAAATCTGTTCTCTACCAGAAA